GCGGGAGACGCGCGATTTCCAGGAGATTATCATTCATTTGCGGGCATCTACTTGGGCGTCTGGGAGTCTCTGTGCATTTGCGGGATAACGTTAACGTTAGTCCCGCAACTTCCGGGAGACTTCTGTAACGTCAAATGTCTGATAAAGTGCAAACGCGGTAATTTAAAGACATTAATGTTAACATTCCGACTTTAATGGTTGTCAACACTTAATATAATTCAAGCGTAACTGTTACGTTATCACACGAGTCTATGGACTAACGGTATATGGACGGCCACGAATCAACCAGTTTAAAAGGGCCGTGGTGTTTAAAATAACCAAATTAACGTACACGAATAACAAACAATCATTCAGTCAGGAAGCCTTTTACAAATAAGCATGTTCATTTACTCACCAGATATGTTTTAGAAACTCTCGAGAGCTCATGGAAACCGTCCTGTGTTGCCGTTAGCATCCGGGCAGAGTAGGCTAGGCGCTCGGGGGAATCCCTCGCTAGTTTGCTTCGAATTAAAGGAGAAGTGTCGATTTTATTTTACAGATGGGTAACAACGCACAAAATGGCATTAAGCGTGACAGAAATGTGTTGAACATGTACATTTGATGTTTTTATGCAATATGTATGCGTGAGCATTTATAAAAAAATTCTTGAAAAGAAGTCAATAGTAATGCAGATAAGCTAGATACACAAACAACCATGAATGAACCGCAGAAGTTTAAAATTGTCACTCCATTCTAAAGTTATTAACTTAACAATATGTTTACAACTGTATTTCCTTAAAGAAAGTCAGTAAAATACCAACATTTAGGTAGTTTGACTCACCAGTTGCTGTTCTAAACCTCAGATGGAAAATGGCGTCTGGAAAATTCTTCAGTGACTGGGGCTGCATGAATTCCCGGATGTTGGAAATAACACCACCAAGTGTTGAAAAGATAACTCCTTGATTTCGCACTGAATAAAATCAATTTTAACTCTTATTATATTCATTTATCAAAATCTAACTCTTTAACGTCAACACTTTACTCTGAAATGCTTCAACACCGAGAATTTAACTCTGATGAATTTGCTGTGTAGAATAAAAGCAGTTATTAATTTTTTAAACACACTATTAGGGACAAAATTATTAGCCCCTTTAAGCTATATTTTTTAATAGTCTACAGAATAAACCATCGTTATAACTTGCCTAATAACCGTAACCTGCCTAGTTAACCTAATTAACCTAGTTAAGCCTTTAAATGTCTCTTTTAGCTATATAAAAGTGTCTTGAAAAATATCTAGTTGAATATTATTTACTGTCACCATGGCAAAGATAAAATAAATCAGTTATGAGAAATGAGTTATTAAAACTATTATGTTTAGAAATGTGTTGAAAAAATCTTCTTTCTGTCAAAGAGAAATTGGGGAAAAAATAAACAGGGGGGCTAATAATTCTGACTTCATCTGTATTTCTTAATTGCCTTTTTCTTTTATTTGTATAATTTATTTATTCTTTTGTTTGTTTGTTTTATTATTCTTATTTTTACATTATCTTATGTTTGTATATCTTTGTGTATATATATGGTATTTTAACTTTTTTTATATACTTAAGTGTATAATTATGATTTCCTCATAATTTCTTGTTAAGTAAATTGTATCAGTGCGTATATATCTATATGCATCAATACTATGTGCGTTTTATTGTCTGACCTAAAATGAACCTTATAAAAAAGGAAAAGGTACTGCCCCATGACAGCTTCTGTATCTTAATTTTTGAGAGTGTGCTGTACTAATAAACTTGAATAAAATTTAGTTTAATTTGCCAATCAAATAAATAACCTCCAAATGCTCAGAAAACATCCGGTGTCCATTCCTAAACAAGTCATGATAAATCAAAGGTTGTTGCTGACAAATTGAAAGTAACATTTATTTTATGAATCAGGAAAAAGAAAAAAAAAGACTTCAAAGTTCATTCAGAAGAGAAAAAAAAACTCTATTACAATGTATACTAAAACATCTGCTACTGTTTTTAACCATCGAAATAACACATGAACATGTGCGTGTGAAAATATACGCTCCCACCGTAAAATTTGGCAGGAAGTATGAAGTGTTGTTTCCTCCTTGCAGTTCCCAGCATTGTAAGGCAGAAGTGTCTTCTGCAGCTCTTATTCAGGAGATATTTATTTTCTGTTAAAGCAAAGATGGATTTCTCTTTACTGAAGTCTCTTTAAAGTTAAAGCCTGAATCAAACATTGTATTTAATGATGTTAAAAATTAAACACTCACCTGATAATGCATACAGGCAATAAAAAAAACTATAAATTGCACAATATAATGGTTATTTCCAATGGTTTTCAAAGCTTAAACTCAGAAGTGCTTTGCATTAATCTGTGAACACTAAATGTATATCACTGTCATAACTGCATAATAAGCATAACACTTTACAATAAGATCTTATTTGTTAAGCTAATGAGGTAAAAGTAAAAAAAAAAATTTAGTAGTGATTTCCAAATTTATTTTCACTTGTATTTCATTGCAGACATTATGAACACAACATATTCCATGTTTGTCTGGTCAACTTCATTTCATTTGTTAATATACATCCGGTCCTGTAATTGAGACAGATGAAACAAGTTGGGACAGAAGCAAATTAGGGCTAGTAATCAAGTAAATTTGTTAAATAATGATGTTATTTGATATAGGTGATGTCAACATGTGATTGTAATTATGATTTGTTACAAAAGCAGCATCCAAGAAATGTCTAGTCCTTACCTCAAGCTGGTTTGCCACCCGCCATTAAACCAAGAAGAAGAAGAAGAAGAAGAAGAAGAAGAAGAAGAAGAAGAAGAAGAAGAAGAAGAAGAAGTCTAGTCCTTAAGGAGCAAAGATGATCCAAAGATTGCCAGTTTGCCAACAAATATGTAAGAAAATTATTGAGATGTTTAAAAATATTGTTCCTGAAAGAAAGATAGATTGGCAATAGGATATTTCACCCTCAACAGTGCATAACATAATTAAAAGATTCATGAAATCAAGAATCAGATGAATTTCAGTGCATAAAGGACAAAGGTTAAGCCTAAAGTGATCTAACATGATCTCCATGCGTGATAACATCACATGAGCTCAGGATTACTTTTAAACCATCATGTACAACAAACCATAGTTACACAAATACCAGTTAAAACATATTGTGCCAAAAGGAAGCCCTATAGTAACAGTGTCCAAAAGCACTGTCTCTGGGCTTAGGCATCTAGCATGGACCATCACACTGTCTGTAAAGAACTGTGGTCAAATGAATAAGGTATTTTTGGGAGAAATGGACTCTGTGTGCTCTGGACCAAAGAAAAAAAGGATCAACCAGACTGCTACTAGCAACAACTTCAAAAGCCAGGGTCTGTCGTGGTATGGGGTTGTGTCAGTGCTCTTGGCAAAAAGATAACTTGCACTTCTGTGATGGCACCATTAATGCTGAAAACAGATTTTGGTGCACAATATTTTCTTTTCCAGGGACACCCATTTCAATAAGACAATGCAAAACCATGTTCTGCACACGGTACAAAGTCCTGGATGCAGAGAAAAAGGATATACTTGACCTGTCTGCAGTCCTAACTTGTCTCTAGTAGATAATGTGTGGCACATTTTGAAGTGCAAAATGTGACAGAAAACCCTCTCCCAAGACTTGTTTTTAGGAAGAATGGAAAAAAATTTTATTCATTCATTCATTTTTTTGTAGGCTTAGTCCCTTTATTAATCCGGGGTCGCCACAGCAGAATGAACCGCCAACTTATCCAACAAGTTTTTGCGCAGCGAATGCCCTTCCAGCCGCAACCCATCTCTGGGAATTTTTTTTTTATTTTTTTTATTTTTTTTAGTAATCACTATTTTATTTTTCATTTGTGTTTTCCATACTGTCCTAACTTTTTCTTATTTGGGGTTTTAGAAATTAAAGGAAAACGTTCTTGTTTGTATTAAAATCTAAATTTACATCTGATTCTGATGTCAAATTGTCATAATCTCTTTAAATATTTTAGTTTGATTAAGGATCAGCTTTTCCTGTTTTGATATCAGTCTTGAATTAGGCACTTTCAAAACAATTAAATTGAACTAAAACAACTGAAAATCAAAATGTATACTGTATGATGTATAAAATAATGTATAGAATTGAATGAAATATTTTTATTTTACACATCTGATTCATTCATTATGAATTTATGAATAAAATAAATTTTCCTTCGGCTTAATTAATCAGGGGTCACCACCGAAGAATGAACCACCAACTTATCCAGCATATGTTTTACGCAGTGGATGCTCTTCCAGCCACAACCCGTACACACTCTTTCACACACATACACTACGGACAATTTAACTTATTCAATTCACCTATACCCGCATGTCTTTTGGGGAAACAGGAGCACCCGGAGGAAACCAACGCGAACACAAGGAGAACATGCAAACTCCACACAAAAATGCAGACTGACCCAGCCGGGGCTCTAACCAGTGACCTTTTTGCTGTGAGGCGATCGTTTTCTCTTTTTAGGCTACTCAACCTCACATATGGTTCCAAACCTGTAACCGTAAACTTCCATAGTAAGAAAAAAACTTAATTAAGTCAATGGTTTCATGTTTATGACATTTTTACAAAATATCTTCTTGTATAAAAGAGTTAAAAACTAATGAATGTTTAAAACAAGTACACAATCATGACAGAATTTTGGTTTTAGGGTGAAATATATATTTTTGTTTTATTTCACTGTGTGTAAATTTTACAATTATTTGTTTATTTATTTAGCAAAAAACATAAACACACGTAAAAATTATTATGCATACTGGGTGAATGTATGCGCCCAGGTGTGCGATAGTTATGCATGCACTTGCCTGACAAAATAAAATAGCAAGTGAATTGACAGCAAAAAAAAAAAATAATAAATAATAATATTAATGCTTGTTTTCTGAGTAAGCATTTTATATGAACGATAATAAAAAATTGAGCTGATTTGTATTTGCGTTCCCATTCTTGCTTATTTTCACTTCTAAGTGTTTCGTCACAACATGGCGACGCGCTCAGACGCCAGGCACGAATTAAACACTGAAAACACACAGGTACAGTACCTTAACCTGCTCACTGTCGATCAATTTCTGAAGATATAACATTATGAAAGTGTCTAACGTTATGAAAGTCTTGCTGCACGCCCACGAAGGGAACCTGTCGTCAAAAATGAGTATTATTTACGAAGGAAGTAGCTTTAGCCCGCTAACCAGCAGAAAAGCCAACTTACAAGCGCACTTTCCACTCATGTTATCAAAATATCAAGATTAATCTTTAAGATATTTATTAGCGATCTGATTTGTTTATAGTGTTGACATAAACATGTCGGTATGGCTTTATGTATTGAAATTGTGATGAAAATGATAGAATTGTTGAATCTACGCGCGCGAGTGTGCTGAACAGGATAAATGCGGAGTTAGCGAGTTAGCCTGAGGTTTGCAGCTTTATCACTTTACGAATTTATGGCGAGGGCATTTTCAGTTGTAACATTTCATCAGAGATATGATACACTTCATAAATGATCCTTTTAAACTTTTAATTCAGAGAAACTAATGAAAACATAGTTAGTTTGTCGCAAATTCAAGTGTGTTTGATACTCCGCATGTTCAATATCAGAATTATCTGGTGAATAATTTAGATATTACCTACATATACTCTTAGCATGTAATAGGGATTATATCTTATAGATATACTAATTTAATATGCGTAAATTTGTGGCGAAATGATGAGCTGTAAAGGTCAGTATCGACGCATTTTCTATTGCACAGATTACTAGTTAACACGTGCTTTGAATAAATGCCTCAGTGGTCAGATTTCTTCATGCGTTAACCTGTTCCTACTCATTTATTTTGCTTGTGCTGGTTATACCTTTCTGGCTTTTTTTTTCAAAATCTAGTGAGTTTCCTGCGTAGACGGCATTTTAAACCCGTGTAATACCAAAAATGTTCCCTAGGTAGGGGGCTCACTGGGATTTGAGACAGTTCTGCGTGTGCTTGCCACACGTGGTCATCTCCATCTCTATTTTCCTGTGTATAAATGTTTTTAAGTTTGTATGTGCCTGTTTGTAGTAAAGATTTTTGTTATGTGTCATTAAAGTGTCATTTGACATAAATGTTCATATTCCACTATATGCATTATTGCTGTCAGGGCACTGAAGACATGGAGGAGATCATTGGTGTCTGTGGTTTAGAGGCCAGAGGACTGGTTGAAGGGAGCAGTTCACCTCCAGATGTGGAGACCCCGTCCCAGGATAACGTGCTGGATTTTGCGGGCCTGGTGAGCAGTGAGGAGGAGAGAGGGGAGACACCAGGACGTGAGGACAGCACCCCTGACCCCCTCGATGTGGAGTTGGATCCTAACGCTGAGAAAACCAAGGACCAAAAGGAATTTGGTTAGTGTTTGCCATTAAATGAATTTGTTGGGTATAAAATAGGAAATAGCAGAGTCCCATATCTTTAGCTGCAATTTGTATTTTTGTATTTTGGTCATCCACGATCATTTGTTTTAACAAGTGATAAGAGGCCAGTGTTCAAAAGTTTCTCCTTGCCTTAGCCTAATTCACAATAGTAAGCTTGTAATAAGTTTTTGTGGAAAATATGGGTGTACTGTCATTCATATACATACAGCATCCTGTATGGCATGTAATGGCACTAAATGGCATGTGAGGATCATTTATAGTCTTTTCTCACAGCAGTTGATATAGACCATTTTAAAGGACGTAAACCAGAACAATGGTCCTAAAGTATTTTCTGTTTTACTTTTATAATTTTCATAGCTTCTGAGAATCCCAAAAGGTAATATTGATAAATAATGTTATGGCAGCTGTTTTACCATTACGTTATGATTAAATTGCCTCTTGTTACTGTTATGAAATGGTTTGACGACAAGCAGTTTACCCAGATATTTAAAAATGAACTCATTTTAGAGCAGTAATCAGAATACCGTGATATTGTGAAACTGTAATATTTTTATCTAAAGTTATCATATCGTCAGAAACTGATGAGCAGGGCCAGACGGAGTCTGCGCATGTTTTTTGCTATTTCTGCTAAGAATTTTGCTAAAAATCTGCGGATTTCAGCGGAATGGTTTTGGGAATACCATAACTAAAACCCTAATATGTGAAATAAAAAATAATATTTTTAAACTTTTATTTAGTGTTTAAAATGCAAATCCAATTAGATTCACATTATTTGGTAAACAAAGCAAGTCTTGTATAATATGTCTACTAAAAGACAGAAAATATTTCTATACAAACTGCATTGTACATAAATCAGATGAACAATTTCATATTAGTCAATAATATTACTGTAAGTTAAAAACTGAATAAATATAGATTTACACACATTTACTCAAGTATATAAACAGAATAAATGATGGGTTACAACTCTGTGGAATTTTGCACGTGCAGATTTTGCGTGGGCCTACTGATGAGCTTGAAGTTGGTTCATAATACCAGCGACCTTTTTGCTTTGAGGCGATTGTGCTAGACACTGCGCCACTGTGCTGCCATTATTGTTATATATTGCAGTGTTTCCTCTAGGATTTTTTCCAACTGTGGCGACAGGCCTTTTTTACACAGATCTACCAACTACCTGTGGCATTATTTCAATAACAAATGGCGTAAGCACAGTATTACAAGTCGAGATCGCATTTATGTAATACGAGCATGCAAATCTCTTTGCTTGCGTGCCGATTTCCTCTGTTCTTGCACAAAACTTCTTGCAACTCCCCTCGAATATATGCTGCTCAAGCGCAAAGGATCTTCTTGTGCGCTCTCAAATAAACGCTGCTGAAGTGCGATTTAGTGCGTTTATGTAACAAGTATGTCTCTAACATTTATTATATTTGCTAGGAATATTTATGAATATCTCCAATAGACCTACAGAGCGGTATTAATGCGTCCTGAAGTGAAGCGGCTATAATCTCCAGCAAGATAAAGTCATTATATGCAGAGCCCCAGACCTTTAACTATAAAGTGTAATTATAGAAGCTGTGTTCATCTTAACTGAAAGCTACGTTGTGTTTGCTGGCCTCATGCATCATGCACCTGTCAGTCAGTCAGCACGTAACCTTAAAGGTTTAAACAAATAACGCAAAGCACTACTACGATTACAGAAAAGTTTGTGCTGTTATAATTCACTTACCATTTAATACGTTTTGGTGTGATTATAAACCGCTATTAAAAAAACATGACTGAATGTCTTGAATGAGATGCTGTAATGTAGCCATGGCAGGATGAATTTTGCCGTGGCACCCTGCCATGGAAGAATGAATGTAGCGGAAACCATGGATTGTTATATTTATTCACATTGGTAGCATAATGTATGAACATTTTATTGTAAAAATTTGGGCCTTAAAATCTGTGTTTGTGATGTATGGTATCCACACAGTTGTGACTGACCACCACACATAGTTCTCAATATATAATATTCACAGTCTTTGAGGAGCTGTGATGATGAAGATAGCACATAACAATGGTCACGCCACTTTTTTTTTATTGCTTGTAAATTCTGTGTAAACAGGAACCAGAACTTTTCAGTATTTCGATGTACTTTTAAATGAAATGGAATAAGTAAGGATGGGACTTTCTTTTGGCGTATCATCCCTTTGTAACAAACTAACAGTAAAGCCTCGTTTCCACTGATTGGTACAGTACGGTATGGTTCGGGTCGGTACGAGTCACCTTTATCAGGCTTGCGTTTCCACCACAAAGGGTACCCTTTTGGTGGGCGTGGTGTATGACAAAAGTTTAAGTCGACGTCATGCACACTCGAATAAATGTCTACAGTAAGGCTGTACGGGTCGTTCACATATCATAATGAGCAGCACTTCTCACAAAACAGATGCTTTATACACATAAGTACTTGTTTATAAATGTCTATCACTATTTTTTCTCTGAACAGGAGTTGAACTGCAGATAAATGACAGTGTGAAATAGGCTACTGTAACGTCTGTAATTCTATAAAATAAATAAATAAATGCAACATATATGAACACATACAGCCCCTTACAGTCTCCGATACATTATTAATTACCGAAACACTACACACATCATACATTTAGTATTTATTTGAGAACAAAAACACACGCAATACAGGCCACAGTCAGCGCAAACCTCTCATCTGTGTCTGTAATCTTCACCAGCACATGCAAACTCTGTTAGAGAGTCATTTTGTTATTCCCAGTTCATAATAGTCCAAAAGGCAAAGATAATCATGGCAGTTTGTTCATGATTCAGGTTGCTAAAACAATTTTGCTCCCGTGTTTTGACGGCTAGTCTTTTTTTTTCTGCTTCACTCTCACGCTTGTCCTTTTTTTCTGAATGGATCAGAGGACTGAGAAACTTCAATAATCGCACTCGCGTTATTATCATCAGCTCAAGAAGTTCTTATATCAAATATAGAAGCGATCGCAAGCTCCCGGAAGAAAGCGAATACCGGTCGCACTTTTAGACGGACTCGTAAAACAACAACAGGACACGGCAGATTTTTCTTCTTGGCTTTGTGTCTGTTCGTCGAGACGATGACATGGTTTGTTTGAGCCTGGGTCATCCATGGCTGGTTATTATATGCATATAGTATTTCCATGTAATGTCTTGGCTGTGTATTTAAAAAAACATGGCGGTTCCTTTGTTTACCTTCTGTGTAGCTCCACGAGCTCGTGACGTATCTCTGTAACCAATCAGCGTTCAGCTGCATGTGTAGCTCCACCTTTTGGTACCCTTTCTCCCGTTTGGTACACTTTCGAAAGGGTGGCGAAAAAGTGGTACAGTACGGTTTGGTTCGGTACACTTTTGACAGTGGAAACGGCCATAAAAGCGTACCAAACCGAACCGTACCATACCGTACCACTCAGTGGAAACAGGCCATAAGAGTGCCGTGGCTAATATTATTGTGGCTGAAGCTGTCAAGCCGAAGAACGGAGCAGAAATGGGCCCTTCACTCCAAAATGGGGAGGCAAATGATCAGACTTTGATTGAAGATTAACAAATCGAACATTTTTTTTTTCAGCTGATCAACATGCACGGATTAATTGTTCACCCTAAGAAAAACAATGTGCGCTAACAAATTAAATATTGCAAGTTTTGATTGCCCAGAGACTCAAACAGAGATGTAGATAGAAGTTAAATCTGCAGACTTCAGCTTTAAGCAGTATATCTCCTTGTTTTGTAATGTTTAATAAAAGTAAAAAGTTTGTAAAATATGTAATCTCTTCTGTCAAATGGTTATTCTATGCATAATTTTCCCCTTTGTTGTTGTTGTTGTTGTAGGTAAAGAGGTTTTGTTGCTGATGCAGGCACTTCATACCTTAGCCACCCCTGAAGAGAAACTTGCTGCCCTTTGTAAGAAATATGCAGACCTGGTATGTATTTGGGCATAGAGATATTGGGAATTATATTTCATACTAAATGTCCTTACTGATAGATTTCACCCAAAAATAGATGGTTCTTTAGACGCATGTATAGTTGATTGAAGTGGAAGTGAAAAGAAGATTCCTACACAAAGCAATACTCTAGTTATGTGGTTTATTATAATTTTATTTTATTTATTTTTTTTACCACAACTAAAGATTCTTAAAGATTTAAAGTTAAAAATAATTAGTTCTTAAAGTTTTTGGTAATTCAATTTCGGTAGTTAAACTTGGTATATTGTTCAGGATGTCATGTTTTAGGACAAATGTAAAAAAACTGTTGTAGTAAAATTTTTTGGCAATAAGCATTATTTTTGGTCCACGTTGTTGACATTTACGAACAAATTGAAAATGACAGTGTTATGAGCATGAAATAATTAGAAATGCGTGGCAGGTTTGGTTTGATTTAGGGCCAGTACACAGTATATACCAAGCCGACAAAACCCAACTGCGTTGTCATCTCACGTTGGTCACATCCGGTTCTGTCTAGACTAAAAAGCTGCTTGTGAACACGCCAAGCTGATGGCAGCCCTTAAGACGATGAGGTGAAAGCATGGGTTTCGTTGGTGGTTCGGCTAGGCATGTACCAGCCTAAAAACAAACTAAAAACGGGACACCATGTGACTGAAAATGTCAGAATGATCAAAGATATCATAAAAGCCATGATGTTGCCCAGCACTAGCGGGATCAAAATCTTTATTCGTGTTTTTGCCATGTAATAATTATTGTCAGTGTTTTTGATTCTCCACACACACAATAAAGAAGACATAACAAAATAAACCAAAGAGAAGTGTGAACATTCCCTAAAATAACTGTTTCTTTTTTAAGTGAAATATTTTGTTTGCCAAACTTTGAGTGTATCAGTAAATTCTAGTGATCTTCTGATGCAGCTGGAGGAGAGTCGCAGCATGCAAAAGCAGGTGAAGCTGTTGCAGAAGAAGCAGAACCAGGTGCTGAAGGAGAAGATCCACCTGCAGAGCGAACACAGCAAGGCCGTCCTGGCACGCAGTAAACTAGAGAGCCTGTGCAGAGAACTTCAGCGCCATAACAAAACCCTGAAGGTAAATCCACCAGACCTCTTGCACAATCGATGATGGAGATGTTTCACTGGCTTTCACTGATTTAGATCGTCATTGTGATGGCAGGAGGAGAACGCTCAGAGGTTCAGGGAGTACGAGGAGCGGCGCAAGGAGGCAACTCTGCACTTTCAGATGACACTCAATGAGATCGAGGCTCAGATGGAGCAGCACAACTCTCACAACAGCAAGCTGCGCCAAGAGAACATGGAGCTGGCCGAGAAACTCAAGAAGCTCATCGAGCAGTATGAGCTCCGGGAGGAGGTGAGCCAACATCTGTATAATATGCAGATTTGCTGTTATGCTCTGGTCGAATCCTTAAAGCCTGGTTTATACTTCTGCGTCAAGTGACCTGCGTAACCCACGGCGCATGCAACACCCGTAGCCGTGCATTTATACTTCTGCGCGCTGTCTTTGTTGGTCTGCATTAACACCTCCGAAACGCTAGTTGGCAGTGAGGTGTTAATGTTCCTCTGTGTCTAGTTTCTTCACTGCTGTTTTGCTTTTCCTGAACACATCCTGGATGTACAAGTGGCTCAAACTCGCTCATTTTGAGGCAGGAACTGGCGAACTTTAACTATGAGGTAAATACAATACAAAACAAAACTTTCCATCCGGAGCTCCTTCACGGGACTCCACACTTGTAAAGAATTGCTCCATTGGGCTCATGCCATTCGCACGGCTCTCGGTCCCGCCCAGACTTGTCAGCGCTACCAAGCCGACCAATCACAGAGCTTGCGCTACGCGTTGTTGCGACGTGTAGTTTCTTTTTTTGAGAGGTGCACGTCAGTGACGCCGACGGCCACGTTGAAGGGCTATGCGTCAATGCCATAGCATACGCCGGCGTTTGACGCAGAAGTATAAATCAGCCTTCAGTCTTCACATAATTATGAGGTGTTTTATCTGTCATAATTATATTGTGAAATTAGCTAACATGAAACATCATGCAGTTTGGCACAGATTTATTGGTTTCAGGATCTGTTTTGTCATTATATGATGACATTGTGAACGCAATAAAGATTTCCAGATCTTAGGTCTGTTCTTCCTATGTGGATGATTCTGTTAGCTGGATTTGATTATTGATGATTTAACAGGATCCAGGATAGATTAATTTTTCAAAAACTGGGATCTGGGATTTGTTGTCAAAGCAAAAGCTCTATAAGCTCAAATCTGCTCGGGATTAGATTGTGTTGTTTCAAGAGGAGATGATAATGAAACTACCAACTACTGATATATTTATATAAGAGCACTTTATTAAATTGTGGAAAATAACAATATTCTGAAATTATTATTGTTTTATTGTTTTGCTATTTTTTAAGTCTATGTATAGGTATGTAATCTACAGTCCAGTTTAAAGGTTTAAAAACTGTCACAGAAATAAATTTTCAAGGGGTTCAAAGAGAAAATATTGTTTATTTAGTGACTAACATGTAATATTAAGGCATGTTAAGTGTTTCTCAAACACTTTTTTGGAGGACTACCAACTTTGCTCATTAGCATGTGTCCTTAACCAAACACAGCTGCTCATTAACTGAGACTGAAAGACCTGTAATGGGTATGACAAACAAAGGAGACATCCAAAACATGCAGTGCTGGTTTTCCTCCAGGAAAGTGGTTGAGAAACATTGTATTAAGATACAGTATGGACCTTTTAGATATAAATGTGAATTTTGAAAAGGTACTGCCCCAGCTTTTGTAAAATTTTGAGAGTGTATGATTATAGACAGGATTATATTCCCATAGAGATATTTGTTGATTTGATGCAGCTCAGGAGATTAGGCATGGGCCGGGATAAGATTCTGACGGTATGAGAATCTTGGATATAAGTATCATGGTTTCACGGTATTGTGATTACTGTTCTAATATATGCTCTTTTTAATATACCTTAAAAACGGTTATTGTCCCATGCCTACATGAGATGCAGATCACGTCTTAAATATTAAAATGCTTTTTTTGATGCAAAATTAATTTAAATAGCTAGTAATGCCTTTAACAAGTACATTTTTCACTGTCGCGTAGAAAATCAGAAAACTAAAAACTTAAACAGTAAACTTAAACTAAATCAATTGCTAAGGACTCTTGACACATAAAAATGGAAAGCCTTTAAAAATAGCCAGCATATATGGAAAGTGTTTAACTCATTGAAAAAATATATATATTGCTGATAATTCAATATTAATCAGATCATGTCATTCCATATATAATTTGGAGTATATACTTTAAGCAGCCGAGCAAGCTGGACACTCAAGTTACCAATTATCAAGTGTCCAAATTTACTCCACAGTTTCACCGATTACCTCCATTTTTCAAAACTGTAAACACACTGACTGAGATTGAAGTCACTTCCCAATACTAACCAGCCCAACGAAATAGCCCCTCCCCTGTCACTTGATTGACAGGTTTCGGTGTACACATTGAAAATTTAAATGCAAAAGGATTTGCCATTTTATTAGAGTTTTGGCAGGTTACATGCAAAATGCAAAGAAAAAGCAAAAGCAAATGAAGCAAGTAATATTGCTATTTAGATATGTCAGGCCCAAAGCAAATGGACTTTGCTTTTTCAATTAAAATAGGCACTACGCGTTCGCGAAAATACTGAAATGTAAGCGGTAATGCAGGATTTGCAATTGCATTTAGATTATGACACAATTTATGCGTCCACCAATAATGGAAAGCCACCAATAATCAAGAATGCATAATTATATGGTGACATGGGTTTGCAATCAAAAAATGTCATTATAATGGAAGTCAATAGAGCATAAACAAAAATCAAAACTCAAAATCAACGTTTGTATTTACTCAGCACACAGATAAGGTGTTCAAACACAAAGAGCTTCAACAGCAGCTGATGGACGCTAAACTCCAGCGGACGGCTGAGCTGATGCGAAAGGTGGAGGAGAAACAGCAGAGGGAAAGAGAGTTTGTGAGTATCCTTCTCATAATCCTAATCCTGTTTCTGAGCCTGGCTTAATCCTCAAGTATTAGTACCTACAACTAATATGTTGATAAAGCTCTTCGTTAACATTCCTGTTTCTCCAGACTAATAATTAAAAGCAGTGGCAACTTTGCCACCATTCTACAGATAGTGGCATCAACATCTTTATTTAAGTTGGACAGCACATGTATTATTTATATTAAATGTTTTGTCACTTAGAAAATGCATGTTTAACCGCTTAAATGACCTGTAAGCTTGAGTTTGAGGATGCACAAATGGTAACATCTGAAACTAACATTATATTATATTATATTATATTATATTATATTATATTATATTATATTATATTATATTATATTATATTATATTATATTATAGTCAGGGCTTGACATTAACTTTTGTTGATCACCAGCCGCTGTGGCTAGTAGTTTCAACAGCACTAGCCACTCTGCATTTTCACTAGCCACAATTTTGTTGTTGGGAAAATATTTTTTTAATGCATAAATTTGACTTGCTGAAATTTAAATAATGTCTTATGTCCACATGCCTCCTCATTCATTTCACTTTTTTGTGTGTTGTGAATGACCTTGCTCAATAGTAGGGTAGGGTTGGGCCGATAGACTATGACATCGTTCATTGCCGATGGCCAATAGACAACACAATGCTGAGCTGGCATCACCAATCCTCTGCCCCACCCCCACCGAAAACCTGCTCACAAACCCATCGTATGATGCCAAATTGTTCGACATCGCCCAACCCTATTTCATAGTGTCGCATTGCAATTAGTTTTATTTCACATGACTTTTAAAAGTTTAACACTTTTTAGAGCTTAAGTATTTACCAATTTTCTCTCTAGCCACACCAAACTAATTATTTTCTTGCCACAAATTTTAAATACTGTGCAAAACATGCTAAATACAGCTGCATACATACACTTTTTATACAGCATTTTTATGTTCTTTAAAAAACAATTGACATTTTAAAATCTATCTAAAACTATACACAGTAGTCTGTCCTGGCTGATGGTCCCAGATCACCAGTTAACTATATATAAATGGATAGAAGGGCTGGGCAATTTTTCAGATTTTTTTCGATTAATTCGAATTTACGTTTTCAGACGATTTAATTTTGAATCAAATCGAGAAATCGCGATTTTTCAAAAATATATATTTAATACATTATAATGACACCAATGCACTTTGGTTCACTCTATGAAGCAGGAAGCACACCAGAAGCGCCTCACGGCGACGTGCTGCGTAGCATCACGCAGCGCTATGGATTTTAGAATTATAAACCGGTTTCTATACACACACCGACGCCGCCCAGCCACGATTCACGAAGCAGTTCATATTTCAGCCGCGCCACAGAGCGCCATCTGATTAGTTTCATGTTAAATATCATGCGAATGTGCGCGTTTGGTGTGTGATAGTTTAAACTGTCCTGTCTGTGCCGTGTCATGTGCGGTACTTCTGGTGTGCGACCTGCTTGACTGCCTGTTAAAGCGTGAAGTCATGTAGGATTTTACTCGTTGCATTAATCTGAGTCACGTCTTTGTGGATTGTCAAGACATTCCCTCATCAAGTCGATAAACTCTTAACATGTATGAAGGATATTTTGCATTCAACAGAACAATCTTCTGAAGTTGCAACTTTTCAACAAAATTAAGTTGTATCAAAAGGAAATGAAGGTCCACAAAATCCAACCTTTTAGTCTTAGCTTGGAGCCCACTATTCATCACAGTGGCGGTTGCTTGTGTTATGAAATTTGCTGTTTTTGCTCATGGCACATAACTGAGCCAGTCACGTGCTGTACACTCTGGAGCTACAGGAAAATGTATTTCACCATGATACTGATTAGTTTATTCCTGTAGCCTAAATAGTAAAGTAAAACCAAAGTGTTGGGTTTTATACTGAGGAAAGTGATGGAATATAAGAGTCATTCTATAATTGTGGTTACCTTTTGCATCTCCTAGATCAGGGGTTGGCAACCTTTGTGACCAAAAGAGCCATTTTGGCCCTTTTACCACAAATAAATCAAATTTGCCTGGAGCCACAAACCATACTTAACTGTTAAATTATTATAAAAATGTTTTGTTTAATACAGATGTAAGGAAGTGCCTAGATAAACCTTATATAATAAAAAATGTGTTTTGAATATTAACACATTAAAAAGTCATCTCTAAAAATAATATATTTATGTATGTGTGTTTAAGGACATGTCTTGTAATTATTCACTTAAAGACTACTTTAATTATCCACTTAAAGACTATATTGAACATTCTACTTCACTTAAAAAGAAATAATGAGTCTGATTTTTGAGTTACTATAATTACTGCTTAATAAATTAAATTAACATCTTGAGCTAAAGCACAAAATGGTGGAAAAGGTCAACTGTTATTGGCAACTGTTGGTGCAAGTTGAAAAGTTTAACACTAAATTAAACAACAATTAATAACAAAGTCACTTGCTTCGCCCAAATGCATAAATGTTGGTTTCTATTCTCTGTTCAGCTCTTAAAAAATGCAACAGAGTCGAGACACAAATGTGAGCTGATGAAGGAGCAGGAGCATCAGCTAAAGCAGCAGCTCACTTTGTACATGGACAAGTTTGAGGAGTTTCAGACGACTCTCGCTAAGAGCAACGAGGTCTTCACCACCTTCAGACAGGAGATGGAGAAAGTGAGTGTGACATGAACAGCAGAAATCTTGGCTAACAGAGTCTGCATTTATTTGATCTAAAATATTTAAATAAAACTTAATATTCTTAAATAATATCACATTTAAAACAGCTGTTTACTTTTATAGTAAAATAGAATATATTTTAAATACTCTTTACTTTTACTGCAAAGCTGCATTTTCATTTACCAAACCCCTCTATTCTTCAAAAGTCATTCTATGAGTGCATGTCCACCAAAATGTTTTTGTTTTCACAAGCTAAGCACTTTTTTTAGTCAATGGAAGCACAACATTTTTAAATGCGCATTTTTAAAATGTGAATCTCTTTTTTAAAATGCTTCGACAGTAGAAAAGCTTGTTTTTAAAACATCAAACTGGTGTTTTCAGCTGCGTCAAAAGGCTTTCGTGGATATGCGCTTTAGTGTTGTCAAGAGTATTAAGTTTGGGACTGAAATTTAAAAAACGTTAACATTTGAGCGGTTCAGCAAGTACGTAAACACTGCTGACTGGCCATTGTGTCGATCAGCTGGACTGTTTATGAGCTGGCGTAAGAGCGATCCAGTGATGGACCAACTGATCTTCATTGCTTTGAAATGTTCCAGTGTCTGTATATCTGTTTGCACTCTCTGAACAGCAGTGAATTGATGACCTTCACAGTAGAGGTGTGAACCCACACTGGCCTCACAGTTCAGTTCGTTTGCGATTAACATGCCATCGATTCGGTACAATTCGATATCTCTGTGCATTGACGATGCTTAACATACACAGATTTATATTTTTTTCACAGCAGCAATTCTTGTATTAAAATGTATAAATATATTTATACACTATTTGTAAAAAATTTTGTCCCTCAATACAAACAGTCAAATATATAAACTGTACCTTTAAACAACACAAGCATTTAAAGTAAATAAACAAATATAAATATCCCGCTTGCGTTGTCTAGCAAGTTCTTTCTTACACCCCTTCGCTTGGTCACACGGTCAACAAAAAAAGTGCTGCGTGCTGGCGCTCTTCACAGATGAGTGACACGGATAAACGACAGCGACGATCACAGCTGATCCATGATAGACGCAGTGGAGAAAACTGCACAAGCGCTCATGTCTGTATCCAGAAGTATCGCTGTAACAGCCAAGAGGAGAGGAAACATCACCCCAGCTGGTCAAATAGACCACAGTGAGAGAGAGATGAAGCTTACTTTCATTCTCTCAATCGCAGTGAAATTGGGGCTTCTGCTGTATGCGTCAGTGAAAGACTGTCCAGCAAACACACACGCAGTGAAATTGTGCACAGTTTCTGCGTTTTCAAGTAGTTGGTGTGTTGTAAATACTTGCGCTTGCCTCCCTCGTCATAGTGAGTTACGGCGACATGGTGCATATGAGATAAATGACGTCCATACATAATAACCAATATATAATTACCGGTTATGATTATTACTGAACCCATATCGAATTGTCCGCGTACACCGAAGAAACTATTCATTTTGATTACTTCACAGCCAATCACATGCATTTCTGTTGAGTACGTGAACACAATGGCTAATCAACAGTGTTTAAGTATGTGCTCAACAGTGCTCAAAAGTTAGCAACACTAAATTTTACCCCAATATGCTGATTTGCTGGAGAAAAAAAATTAATTCGTTTGTAATTTATTTGAAATGGAAATATTTAAAATGAATAGAAATACTGACTGATTATCTTAGTCATCTAACACTTACTTAATATTACACTTAAAGGAACACAAACTATTCAATTACCTAATTATCATAATCTTCAGTCAGTACTACAAGTTAAAATGACATAGATGTGGTGTCTAAATTTGTTTACAAAAACAATGAGATTTTGTATTTAGTGTTTTTTTTAAGATTTATTTATATAAAATAGTACAAAATAATAACATTTAAAGTTTTAAGCATTTAAGTTTTAATATTTCTACTTTTTCAGCTTCTCTGAAATGATCAGGCCTGGTTATTTTTAGACATAAGCTTGCACAAAATAAGATGTTTTGTTGATGTAAAAATTGAAATGCTTGCTTTGCTTGACATGTTTTTATTTTCTGTGACTTATCAGATGACAAAGAAGATCAAGAAGCTTGAAAAGGAGACTACGTTATGGAGGACCAAATGGGAGACCAACAACCAGACTCTACTGCAAATGGCAGAAGAGGTAAGGGGGAATTAACACATTTTTCTACATTTCTAAATTCGAGTTATGAACTTCTGAGTAATTAGTTGTATGTTGATGTGTGTCTGTATAAAAATAATTTTCTTTGTGTAAATGTATAATTAACACTTCTTGTGTGTGCTGCCTTTCCTTGTTGAAGTGCTGAATGCCTTCTTAATTGTAAGTTGCTTTGGACAGAAGCATCTGCTAAATCACTACATGTTAAATGTGTAAAGGTCATATGACCAGCAAGGAAGATCACAGCATCCCATTTTCTACAAAATGCATTCAGTGTTCTTGCAGTCTTCTAAGTTTCATTCTTCCACGATAACTTGCCAAGTGCTGTCTCCACGAGACGGCGAGTCCATTTTCTGCTTTCCTTGTATTGAAAAACAGCCAGAGTCATTTGGCCAAGTGATGATTGTGGTTTGCACTACCTTACCAGATTACTGTGCTGGTTACCAAAATAGTAGTATGATACAATTCACAATGCTGCATTTACAATTTCTGACAATGGAATTTGAAATAATTGGATACCTGAACCACTCAGTGGAATTGAGCCATAGTAATATACTGCTGCCCAAGCTCTTACTTAGGGCCCGATCACACAAACGCACTTTTTCTTTTTTAAAATGTGAGGTGCACTGCCTTTGTTATTGACAAGAAGAAGAAAAAAAGTTTGTTGCAGTGCTTTTTTTTGTATGTTGCTAGGCAACAACTGAATCAGCTCTGTATTGTGCATGAGTGTTGCTGTTGATATTATTATAATTTTAATACAGTGCTCCCTCGTTTATCGCAGGAGTTGCGTTCTAAAAATAACCTGGGATAAGCGAAATCCACCAAGTAGTCCGCTTTATTTTTTACAATTATTGTAGGTGTTTTAACGCATTAAAACCCCCTGCTACACACTTTATGCACTTTTCTCAGACAGGCGTTAACATTTTTGCACTTTTCTTTCTCGTTCAAACACTGTCAAAGTTCAAACTTTTGTAGAAAAAGAAGTCCAGCATTATAAAATGAAACCAAAGATCAAAATCTGTTGTCAGGCACAAACATTTATCACTATTAACAATAGGTTCATAAAGCTTTTTAGCTTTGTGTGGATAATGTTGGCATAATGTTCTTTTCCCTGCAGTCACTGATCCATAAAGCTAAAGCAGACTCCATCCTTAAGGGGGTCGCACACCAGATGCGCCGTGCACATGACAGCTGGAAGTAACACACACCGGACGGAATATGAACAGTGTTCTGAGTCGTAGTTGGGCACCACAGGCAGCCGCCAACTTGCGCACTGGTGTGCGTTCCCTGATATAAGCCTATGTTTACAATTCTAAAATGCAGGGCACTGTGTGGTGTGATGCATCCGGTGTGCAACCCCCTTTATGATGGTCTTGCTGCGGACAGTTCCAACACTTTTTGCATCCTTGTTGAAACTCACACTGCTAGCGATCAAAGATTTATGTTAATTTGACAAGCTAAACTTATTCTGTACTGTACAGGAGACATGGAGGAGATTGATTGACAATGGTCTACAGCCAATCAGGACGCAGAACACAATGCACTGTAAAAAAAAATGTCGAATGTCGAATTGCACTAAATTAATCCGCAAAACTGCGAGGCGAGAGGTAAACCGCATTATAACAAGGGACCACTGTATTTAATAATATTAAGAGATTCAAGATTTGTGAAGTCATACAGCTTCAGATAACTCGAAACAGCAACCACAAGTCTCTCCTTCATCTTCAAAAGTCTCCATAGTCATCTTGACTACACAAACACTGCTGTCACCTCAGTGAAAACCCCCGCTTCTGCTTTCATTTGATTGGAGAATTAAAAGTTTATGTGAGGGAGAATTAAAAATATGCGACACTGCACTTTTTCCGCTCATAGTTGACGTTTTTTCAACGGTGGGCTCAACAGCAATAACTCGAAGAGCAGCATGTGGTTAAAATGCTTCCATGCTGTGCAGGTCTCACAATGTGAAAAACGCTCCTGGCCATTAGTAAATTACTCAAAGGCGCCTCTCAACGCAAAAAAATGTGTTCGGTGTGATCGGCTACTTATGATGTCTTTTAAGCTCTAAACACACACAAAAAAGAAAAGAGCTATAAGTATATCAGTGCCTTTACTCAAACCTTTGAATATTTCAGAATTAGTTTTAAAGTCCCTGTTTTCATTTGTCTTGAAGAAAACAGTGCGAGACAAAAATTACAAGGCCCTCCAAGGTAAACTGGATCGTCTGGAGAAGCTCTGCAGGGCCCTGCAGCGAGAGCGCAACGACCTAAACCAGAAACTCCGAGTACTTCAGGGCCCTGCAAAAGATCCTGAGGAAGAGGGTACTGGACCTCCAGACCCCCAGCCGGAGGAGCTGTCTAACCCAGAGCTGGAAAGAGAGGTGGAGGGAGAGGTGGAGAGAGAAGTAGAGGGAGAGATGGAGGCTTTGGTGCCTGAAACAGAGAAAGTCGGTCTTCAGCCTGACGATTCGAGCAGCACATCATCCACACAACTTATTGACGACTGAGCCTGGCCTTCTGGTGGCCTTTCTTTTTTTGTGGAGGTATATATTTTTGTCTAACAATTATTATCATAAAGTTTGTGAGGAAAAAGCAGGACATTAGTGAAGACGCTAACTGCTCTATACGTTGATAATCCGCTTTGTGGCGAGCACTTTTTACTCCCTATTTTCTATCACATTGTATTTTCGTAGGAAACGGTCATGTGGTCCAAGGCGGCCGCCATGCAGCTTTGTTTCGTATGTTTTTCGTTTTTTTTCTTCTTCCCCGATTCTGTTCTCGGCTTTTTCCTGCTCAGCTTGTGCTATGGTTGCACATTTTTTTTTGTTTGGTTTAGTTTGTTTCTCTTTAATAAAATGTAGCTCTTCGCTCTGACCTCTAGAATCTGAATAAATCATTTTGGTTGCATATATATATATATATATATATATATATATATACATATATATATATATATATATATATATATATATATATATATATATATATATATACATATATATATGCATTTTATTTTGAAATAAGCGTACATGGTCAACAAGCTCTAGATGAGCAGATAACCTTGAGACTTGAGTAACAGGGCATTAATAACAGTAGAAACTGAGGTTAACACACACTCATCTACTCATTGGCACTTTGAATCTGATCCGACACGGGTCTGTAGTAAGTTTGGTTTCTGTGGATTTAATTGAACTGGACTTTATAGGAAGATTCACATCTTGTAAATTAGAGAGTGGTCAAGACTCCTCACCGCTTGCGACTGGTTTTCATATGGGAATCTGAATAAGGGCTAGTTTGACTTTGAAAAAGGCTGCTACATCTCCAACAATTATGTGAAATATTAGAACAGGGCCAAATACTTGCGTCAGTTTTTTTTTTCTTCTCATGTTTAAGAACTTTCTATGTGAGGGAGTACATTTTTGTACCATGAAAAGTGCACATGTAAAGGATGGTAAAATTCTACTTGGCTTTGTATTCATTGAAATTTAGTTAAACTTTGCATTCCTAACAGACGTGATAGTTGCTTTTCTTGAATCGGGGATTTTGAACTAGCTGGATTCATAGTTTAATTTGACCAAACCATGGAATCAATCAGCATTTTCTCCCCGAAATATATTTTTGTTTTTCATTCATTCATTTCTCAAAAACTTTCCTTCTGATTTTTAGAAAAATGGCAGTTATTTTGCTAAAAGGATGAGATTTAACTAAGAATCTCCCTTTTGTCTGGTTTTATTTCATTAATCCTGATGATAGCTATTGTTTGAATTCACCTTCTTTTTCTGTCATCTGCAATATTTAAAATGGTTCAATTATAAAAATCATGGGAAAAATATAGTCAGTCTAAGACAATATATACTTGCAAAAGTAAAAAAAGTTTTGTTTTATATATATATATATAAAATGAATGTAAATCTACAAAAATGGCAAACCAAAAATTAATTCTTCAGAAATAAAAATAAATTTTGCTAACAAAAAATAAATAAATAAACTGCAAAAGGGAAAGGAAGTTTTGAGAAATAAAAATGAAATTTGCTAACAAAAAAAAAAACTAGTTAAAAATCAAGGGAACTTGAACGTTTGCTTTATAATTTAAATTTTTTATTAAGCAAAATTTTTTGTTTTTTTCACTGCTTGATTTTTATTTGCAGTTCTTTTTTTTGTTAGCAAAATTTTATTTTATTTATCAACTTAATTTCCCTTTTGCAGTCTTTTATTTTTGTTATCAAAATATTTTTTTTTTTATAATTTAAATAAATTTTTGCTTTGCGAATTTTGGAAATTTGCATTTATTTATTTTTTGCTCAATACTTAATTTTTTGTTTGCAAAACTCTCTTTTATTTCGTAAATTAATATGGCCCTAGGTTGACTCCATAATAAACCAACCAATCTGACAGTCCAAACCTGTTTGACTGACTTTCTTCACAGAAAAAAAGAGATTTTTCAACACATTTTCTTTTTATGTCATGTTTGGAGTAATATGAGGGATTTTACTTTTGTTTTATCCTTTCGGTGAATTGGCTAATTTAGATATTTTTTTTCCAACTCTTAAACTTGACCCAGAATTGACTACAATTAATTTCACATTTTAAAAAGGGGCCTTGATGTATTTGATGCTGAATGTGATTTCTCTCTTTCGTTTCTTGAACACTGTAGTGATCGAGAATAAAGTCTGTAATTCGATGCTCAAATGTTAAAAAGAGCTGCAAAGATTTTCAATGTTGTTAATGTGAATCTGTCTTTAGAGAACTGAACTGATGAATGTAGAAGTTGCCAATCCCATGTCTACAAACGGGCAGCCCTTTAAGAGCTGATCATTCTCACACATGGACACACAGGGTCTAAAAACACTTGCCAGCCTCCTCGGGTCCATTCCAGCATCTGCCACTGTTCATGTCCTGATCTGGCCAGTACATTCCTGAACGCAGAATCCAACAACACATCCTTCAGATAATCTACTTGTAGTGGAGCTGGGCACACTTTTGTAATAATGTAATGGAGGCATTCGAGAAATGCAGAGTGACACCTATTTCTGTGAGAAACTCGTTTGTTCGAAACATGGGCTGAAATGAAAGTCTGAATGTTTAACTTTGCCAAACTAAAACTCAGCAGAACAGTAGATCTTCACCACTTTTCTAAAATCTTGTACCTTGTTTTAATTTTCCATCGTCTAAACTTTCTTCAAATGATGGCTAAGAATGTTGATGTTTATTATAACAGCATATGTTTAATCTTCTCTCCAGAAGTGTGAGCAGTTTTTTTTTGGACACATCTGTAATTGGGGCCATGTTCATTTGAAATGTTTGGTGTTTTGGTACTGTCACTTCGTATCGCGACTGTTTTTTGTTTTGTTTTTCGCTACGCCCCGGTTCGATTCTCAGGTTATGCAAGAAATCTACCTCTTTAGGTAAGACGTACTGTGAAAGATGCTCAAGAGAGCTTTTCTTTCTCCCCCAGCCCAGCCCGTGACCCCTCTGAGATTGTACAACGCTCTTGTAGTTCTGTCTTGCTTTTCAATAAAACATTTTGTAGAATTTTCTTTACCGTCTCGTTTCTTGTGTCAACCATATTTTTATGTCTACCACATACAAGCAGGACTTGAAATAAAAATGCACAGGGCTGTATTTCCATCCAGAAGTACTGATCTCTTTGCCATTATCCAGTGTTTCTCAACCACATTCCATTTCACCATTGTTGCATGTTTTGGATGTCTCCTTTCTCACCCATTACTGTTCTTTCAGTCTCTGCTAATGAGCTGGGGCCTCATGTACGAAGACTTGCGTGGAAATCTTACTAAAACATTGCGTACGCACAAAGCTGTAAATGTGCGTACGCAGAAAAAAATTCAGATGTATGAAACACTGCGCACGCCGAATCTCACGCATATTCTTTTGTACATCTGAATGAACATGAAACTGAGCGCAACATGCACGAGCACAAAACCCCTCCCTGCCTCCTTCCCCGTATGAATATGCTAATGACTATGCTAATGGCAAAACCCAACGAAAAAGCAATGGCAAAATCAAGCAAAAAGAGAAACTTTGAACGGAATGTGAATTGGAGGTGCTGCTTTCGGAGGTAGACCGGAGAAAAGCGGTGTTATTTGCAAGTTTGTTCTCCGGAATTAACAACAAAAGAAAAAAATAGAGTGGGAGAGTTTAGCTGAAACGGTTATCACAGTTGGGTCTGAACATCGCACTGAGTGCATTTAAAAAAGAAATAGTGTGGTTTATAACTGAAAAATGTTGCATTACCATTAGCAGTCTCTGTTGCGCACCTCATAAGAAGCATGAGATCATGTACTGACATATTCGAGCGTAAACTCGGCTCGAATCCAGCGTCTGATAAATTCTTTCTTCTTTTTTCCCCCGCTACATATCAGATTTTGCCCACTATTTATCACAAGAAAGACAAGTAGGAATCATCAATAAGTTTGTGCATCATATTTTATTTGCACATTTATTGAATGGAAATGTTTCTGATTCACCCATGCAAATTCATCTTCAGATAGTGTCTTTATAGCAATGTGCGTGCGGTAGATAGCTCAGATTACATTGGGAAAACAGGCGACCACTGCAAATTGTGCTTTAATGTTTAGCTGGTCAACTGTATGGTATGGAAATCTTACATTCCTACTAGATGAACCCGTCTCATACAGCTGCCATTGTAAGGCTCAGACACTTTGTAGAGAAGAATTTAACACAACTGCCTCTAGGAGTCGCCAATGGAAATAAAACAGACACGCACAAAAAATGTGCGTACGCCTGCCAGAAAGCTGCCATGAACCTGCGCACATTCCCACGTTCAGTTCATTGTTAGTAAATCCAAACGTGAGCGATTCTGAGCGTGAAACCTGGCGTACGCAAAGTTTTTGTGCGTACGCAGCGTTGATACATGAGGCCCCTGATGATCTGAATCAGGTGTGTTTGGTTAAGGAGACATGGAAAATGTGTAGAGACGGTGGTCCTCCAAGAATGTGGTTGAGAAACAGTGCCCTTATCCCTTTAAAGGGATTCTGAATAGAGTGCCGTGTGTGCACCCATCCAACTTCCTTGCGCAAAGGATTACGGGTGCTCGAAGGCCACTTTTAGAAAATACCAATATTTCCAAAATCACAGGAGCTTTATACGTTTTGTCACTGAAAGTGGTGTCTGCTAATGTGAACGAGCAATTCCATGGAAAACTTTAATTAATTGAAGGACCCCTTTCAAGATCATGTGACTGAAGCCCACCTGTTCAGTTTGTCGTTTTTCACATATTTAACTCTTTTGGAACCGTTATAAAATTACGTTTTTGTTGTCGTTTGCTGTGAAACCCCTATTGTATTAAATGAAATGTATTAATAAAATGTATTAAAAGTAGTCATAGAGAAAATATATAGGCTATTCATAATTTGATATAAAATAAATTGCTCTACATGAAGATGAATCCCTCTCATGATATTTGCATATTATTAAAAGTAGTTTTTCTTCATTTTTGCTGTATTTAAGGTTCATTCATTTTCTTTTCGGCTTAGTCCTTTTATTAATCAGTGGTCGCCACAGCAGATTAAACTGCCAACTTACCCAGCATATGTTTCGTGCAGCGGATGCCTTTTCCGCTGCAACCCAGCACTGGGGAACACCCGCACACACTCCCATACATTATAGCTAGGCCCACACAGAATCTGCGCGTACAGAATTCCACAGATTTTTAGCCCATTATTAATTCTGTTTATTTACTTGAGTAAATCTGTAAATCTGAATTTATTCAGTAATTTATTACTTTTTATTTAATATATTAAGGTTTTAGTTATGATACTCTGCTGGATACTCCCAAAATAATTTCGCAGAAATCCATATATTTTTACTAAAATTCTCCGCAGAAATAGCAAAAA